GATGTGTTTGTTTATAGTGGAAAGAAAACAAAACCATAGTCACTGAATATTTCCGACAGGGTCTGTGACCAGCCCACATGCAGTTGTGGGTTGACTCCAGAACCTGGTCCGTTTTTTTGTTTGGATTGTGCTGTTTTTCTAACAATGGGGAAAAAGAATTGTTATCAGTGACACAGAAAGATTGCCTTACCCTAAGTGAGCGTGAGAAGCCATAAGGACTGAATTCTGTGGCCCAGCATCCAGGACTGACCCACCAACCCAGAGGCCGGTGGACATGTGAGTTAGAGGGAAGCCCACGTCCCACTGAGAAGGGTTCCCCATGAGTACAGCTGGGACCTGGCTTGTGGGTGTGGAACACTGAGCTGCCCCTCTGGCCCACAGGAATTCAGCAGCATGTACAGTCAGTCACTCTTGCACTATACCTTCTCCAAGCCAGAAACCACATTTAATTTCATAAAGAAACTTATGAAAAATAACCTGGCTGCCAGCCCTTGTTTTTCCATTCGTGTCTGTGTATTTTCTTCTTTGCATGCCCCATCCTTCCTGTACCTCTTATACCTGTCTCTGCCCTGGGCCTTTCCTTCAACAGAAAGGAAGAGTCCAGCATCACCCAGTGTGGTGGGAGCTCACTTATCTGCAGACCATGCCCTCAGAGCTCTGGTGGACAGAAGCAAAGGTGATGGGGGAAGTACTTCAGAAGCTCAGAAGGAGCTGGGAGGACAATGTGTGGCCTGGGAGCTGTCCTGGTGTGGGATATAGCTGGCCCAGCTCCTCCAACCTATTCAGGCCTGGAAGCCTCCCTGGCTGCTCCCCGAGTCGATGTTTAGCTGAAGTTGGCAAATATCAATTTGGGGAACAGGAAGTCTGCAATCTTTCTGAATCTTAGCATCCTCCTCAGCGAAATGGAGAATGCGTCCTCCCAGGACAAGCCAGGCCACAGGACCAGAAGAGGAACAGGGCCAGCTTTCCTCCCCTTCCTCCAGGGGAAAGAGTCCCCACAACCTGCTGCCTCCACACACCCTTACACACTGAGACGTCGGTGCCACACAAGGTCACCGGGGCTGAGCACCACAAGGCCCTCTGCCCCCAAACCCTGGATTTCCTAACTTGAAAGAATCTACACCACTTCCCAGCCAGGCCATGCCACCTCGAGATAAAACCTACAGGGGAAAAAATTTTTTTAAAAATCACAACATGCAACACAAGTCAATCTTTATTGAAAACTGCAGTATTAATACATAACAATTCTTGTTACAATAAACGTGCTTTTAAGAATTTTAAATCTGAGCTCATCTACTCATCAGATTGCATAAAAAATTAAAATAGTATGAATTTACACATAATGGAACTGGCTCAGGATGGATGTTCCATTCCTTTGTATTGATTGACACCGTAAGTTCAATGCAGAGGTGAGGGATGCCTTTAACACTGGAAGACAACACTGACTTAAGCTTAAAAAAAGTACCAAGAGAACGGTCTAAAAAAACAGTATTTAAAAATTAAAAAAAAAAAAAAAAGGAACCATTTCCTAGTCAGTCACAGCCCATGTGGCTCCTTGGGGCCTCTCCTCCATCACAGCAACCCTGCCAGGAGTCCAGCAGAGCCTATTTTACTGACCACTAGTCTGCACGAGGACCCGTGGGATACTGACAAGGCTCAGGAGGCCCAAACGAGAGACACCTGTCATCTCCAACACACCAGCCCTGGGAGTGTGGGTCTTCTGAAGCCCTCTGCAGACTTCCTGAACAGACACCTGCCTCTCCTCTGTCTCCCTGTCCCAAGTAAGTGAACTTTAGCCCTGGGGATTCAAATAAGGTTATTCCTAGGGTTTTCTGTTCTTCAAATGAATGGGGGGGGGCTGCATGCTAGGGTTGGGGGGAGGAGACAAATCCTCTAAAACATGTAACATCAACTTTGCAACTTTCAACCCAAAAAGATCAGACCCTCCTCTGCAGCAGGTCATCTGCCAAGTCTGTTCAAAAAAGTCTGATGCACCTTCAGAAAGCTCAGGCTGAGTAATAAACAGCTCAGGGAAAAAACACAAACACTTGAGATGTGCTAGAGAGGAGCTAAGCAGTCTGCCCCTCCCCTGAGCCAACCACACTCCTCTGTAGAGACACCCCCACCCACCCTTAGAAAGCACCAGAGAGAAGAACCAGAAGCTGCCCCCTACCCTCAAGCCACTCAGCCTTAAAACTGCCCATGAGCCTGCTGAGGGGTCAGACAGGCATCCTGTCCTGTCGGTTGGCAATGACTGGGGTATCCAGCCATTAGCTGCCAGATAGGGAGAAGGTGGCCCAACTGGTCAGAGAAATACTGTTTCCAACTGTTTCCAAGAACTGAAGAAGTCTGGATTTCCTTTTGGAAGTGGGCCCCAATGTTGATGTGGTTGGCATGTGCCACCTTTCACCACTGGCTGGCAGGCACACTCACAGAAACCCATGTGCCAGATAGCAGCATAGCCAAAGTGCCTTAAGAATGTATTTCCTCTCATTATAGAAGTGATGGTGCCACCAGATGGAGCAACGCACTGTATGCCCAGCGTGGGAAGGGCAAGATGCCTGCCAACCAGGTGCCCAGGTTGGAGGCTCAAGACCTCCCTCGTGTCCTATAAATACTACATTTGCATAGCACTCAAGAAATAGAGTCACAGAACAGCAACTGGTTGGCTTGATAACCACACCAACAAGAATGTTCTGAAAAGATTTAACAGGATACATAAAAGGTTCTGGAAGCGCCTGGCCTCCATCCCTATCACCATGAATGGCCCTGGCCGTGATGTTGGCTTCACTTCACAGAGGCAGCGAGCTGATGGGACCAACGCTCTTCACTAAACACTCAGGTCACTTGGCCCAGATCCTAACAAAATTTCCATAAGCAAAGAGACCTCCTAAACCTTAGCAGAGAGGCTGTAGAACAATTTTTTTTTAATACCAATGATGACGTTCATGTTTAGAGGAATTAGGTCCTTCGCTTGCCTATCTCCACTTCTGAAAGAACCATAATTCAGCTGAAAGACTCTCAAATTAGGAATGTCACATACAAAAAGAAAGGCAAAGTTTCTCTGAATGTTCCATTACTATGCTTGGGATATCAAATTATGCAAATTTATAACAGAAGTCTATTCCTTATTTTACTGGAATTAAATGCTGTTAAAATTACAACCTATGATAGTTCTGCTACTATTCGTATGTCCAGATTCTTACCTGCTAGGCAAGATCTACCTTTCATTGTATTTGATAGTTGATGCCCTGATAGGTTCAAAATTGAAGATTTCCAGAGATGTATTCCATAATGCAAAAGTATTTGATAAAGTCTCCCAAAACTCACCTTCACAAAAGGAAAAAAAGATTAAAAAAAATTATAAGGGGAAAGTGTTTATGAAGCTGATATAAAAGGGGGCAAAATGCAACCCACCCTTCTCGCTCTCAAAAACACCATTTAATTCAGTGCTTGTGAAAACGCTCACCCTGTGTGTGCCATGTCTCAAGCAAGCCCAATGAAGCATCCTATATAACTTCTATCTTGCCTCAATTCAAATAACTCCACCCCCTTACACGTAATTTTGTGTGTGTGTGTATGTCTATGTGCGTGTGTGCACCCATTTTGATGTTTAGGGCTTTACTAAAGCATACATTAAAATCATATTTTCTCCTAATCTATTACACTAAACTGGGGAAACTGACTTTTCTTTTACTTGGTCAGTTCAGCCCTGGAACCCTTAGAACCTATCAGATATTTATTACAAACCATCTACTATACAGATGGAATTACCAACAAAGAGTTGAAGAAGTGGACACAAACCATGTGCCTGAAGTAAATGGTTCACACACACACACACACACACACACTGACAAACACAAATGAGTTAAGTGCTAATGAAGCAATTTAAAGTACTTATCAGTAAGCACACTATGTTAACAGACATTAGGAATAAGGAATTTTCTGTTTACAATGATCCATGCAAAAATATTCCTAAACTTCTTATAAAATGTGAAAAAAAAATTATGGGGTACTTACTACAAAAAATAAGGTTACCAAAGGCTCAGGGGTCAGGTGTCCTACTCACCAAATGGGGCCGAATGCCAAACCAGTGCCAGAGTCCTGACCTAGCTGCCAGAGATGTAGGGGCAGGGTCCCCTCCCCCACCAAAGTCCACAACACTTGAAACAATGATGGGGTGAACAGGAGCATACCCCATGCCCACCTGACAGACTGCTGAAAGGGAACAAAACCCTCACCCTCCCACCCCCTCTCTGAACAGACACACACTCCCATCGATACAAGTTGGGCACATTTAGGCAAAAAAATCCTCTTCATTTCTTATGTACAGTATTCAGACTTTAAACACAAAATCCTTTCCAAATAAATCCTGGCAGGCAAATGCATTCTGATGCTGCCTTGCCCTTTGCTGTCCATACCTGCTTTGTGCTAAGAGCCCTCAGCTACAAGACATGGCAGACAAGGCTCACAGACAAGAGGCACCAGCCCTTCCCTCACATCTTCACAGACCCATCTCCAGGAGCAGCCTCCAAATTTTCTGAGAAGATGACAAGTCCCTATCAGGTGGATGGGTCCAAACACAGCCACAGCACTGCCCATCTACAAGAAACAACTTCAAGTAAAGTTTTGTTCCCTTTTAATAGTTCTTAAATATACAACTTTCATAACAGACAGCTGAAATCTTTGCCCTTCTTTGGCGAGGAGGGTGATGGGGGGTGCGGTGAGAACAGCAATGCCTATCTATGTTTTCAGTGGACTGAAACGTTTCTTGGGGCGGGGCGGGAGGAATGGTTTTCTGTGCTAAATAAAGGAGAAGCCAATACCTCCTATAAGTGTGGCTGTTTCTCCTTCACATGTCTTCCATCCCAGGAAAATAATTTAGTTCTACATAGGACTTTTCCAGTAAAGATACAGAAAACATCATCTCTATCTGTAAGAGGCTTGTAATGAAAACTTAAATGGCAGAGAAAATTGCTTTGCTGATACACAGACCACCTCTTGCCCCCAGCTATACTGGCCACACACTCTACACTTTCATGATGATCTTTAAGAATGTCCATACCACAATGCCCCGCAAGACTAAATGGCAAGATAGGGATGCCCAGTAAGCTGGCTGCGTCCCCGGCAGTGGTGGCTCTCCCTGCACTCTCCCTGTCCCCGTAACTCTCTCCCCTTGCCGTGCAGTCAGTGTGAAAAGAAACAGATGGCTGAAAACTCAAAAGTCCACGTTCCCAACTGGCAATCCACCTCAACCCCAAAGGCTGAAGAATCATCATCTAAGGGATTTCAGATACTCTATGAAGAAATTCACTTTAACACTTTTAAGACTCTGCATACATTACAACAGTGCATTAGTGATACAAGTTATAAAATGCTTTTCCATTCCTTTGGGTTTTGCATAATGATGGTTTTGCATCAGTCACTGCAGGTAGATTGAGCAAGCTTTGTTTTTGTGTTTGTTTTTTTAAACATGCATTCAACTAGATATGATTCAGAATAGATTAATACTCCCTTTTAATCATTACAGTTAGCTAAAAAATTGCCAGGCAGCCCACAAAACAGGATTTGCTTTAAGACCAACCCACAGAGTTAGTTGGAGACTAATGGCGCTGGGACCTGCTGGGCCGGGCCATAGTAGTGTTTAGCTAAGTGTAGAGAGCATTAAGAAGAAAGTCCGGGTTGGAGGCGCGAGGCCTGCAGCACCAGCTGTGGAACCTCCATGATGTGACTGCACAGCTCCATCCTCAAACCTGGCGGGGAAGAAAGACACAGTCAACAAAGAGTGCCTCTGGCACCGTTGCTCCAAAAAGGAGGTGTTTCATTCAACTCAATGAGGACGAAATCCACCAGGACCAGAAAGGGCAGCAGCAGAAGAGGCCACTGCTCCTGGTTCCATGGACTCAGAGAGACTTCCAGTTACAACTAGAATCCTACTTCCTGCAGAAGGCAGTGGGAGATTAGAGCATGGAAGAGGAAAGGAACGAAGTCTATAGTGTATACAGCAAGTACTCCATGGTTCCCTTCCTTCTTCTACTTTAGAGAATCCCAATAAGAACAAAAATTTAAATACCACACTGCTCTTGGATTAACAGGTAGCATTTTTCTCATTAGTGCTTAAAATATGTTAGGTTTGCCATTCTGTACTGAAAAAAACACACTTTAATCAAGAGCCAACACAGGCTTCACCGGTCACTTACATTTGCAGGGTGATCACCACTGAGGGGGCACGTAGCTGTAGGTGGGCGTTCCTGGGGCCCGATATGTGGGCACAGTGACTGGGTGAGGGGCAACAGGAGTTGGGGAGTGGGCAGTCAGCAGGGTACCTGGAAGAAAGAGCAGCTGTCTCAGTGGCAGGCAGCACCACCACACACAAGGCGAGCCTGTGTCACCACACAGCTCCACGCTGCCCGACGAGACAGCTCTGGCCCGGCCTGCTTTGAAAGGAAGGAGGTACACAGGAGGAGTAGTCTCGACCTAGAGTGCTGTCAGAACTGACTGTACACAACTCAAAAGTTGTACGAACACAGCAAGCTCATATGATAATGTCTATAGAAGGCTTTGTGTTTTCCCTTCACATGAACATACTCAATGATTTTTGGAAATCAGGTAATTGACAAAATAAAAAAATTCAGCCTTAAAAAGGAAGGAAATTGGTTACATGCTACAACATGGATGAACCTTGAGGACATTATCTTAAGTAAAATAAGCCAGTCACAAAAAGATACATCCAAAAAGACTCCACTTACATGAGGTATCTCGAGTAGTCAAACTGACAAAGTAAACGGTGGTGGCCAGGGGTTGGGCTGGGCTGGGGGTGAGGGGCACAGGGGATAAGTGGAATTGTTATTTAATGAGCAGACCTTCAGTTCTGCAAGGTGAAAAAGTTCGGTTTTACAAAAATGTGACTATACTTAACATTACTAAACTATATACAGTTAAAAATGGTTAAGATGGTAATAAATTGGAGAGAGGGAAGACTCCAAACTACATGAGCTTCTGAGTACATGAAGATAATGTATTCCCTTATAACTACAGAAAACTCAGCAACTCTCTGAGCCCATCTGTAGATAAGCAGAACCTCAAACCTAACAGCCTCACTTTGCTTCTCTTCACTTCCCATCTCCCTGCCCACAACCAGCCCACAGCCTGCCATCCCTCCCTCCACATGCCTCAAACATGCAGTTTCTGTCTCTTCACAGATAAGTATGGGAAACTCAAATACAATGGAGACTTTGGGCAGAAAACACACACCTTTCTCTCTGGCACAATCTCCCTATGTTGAAGTTAAAAAAAAAAAAAAAGAGGAAACATTGGGAGAAAAAAAAACAACAAAACAAAAACAAAAAAACACAGCCAATGGCAAGCACATGCATCTTGTGTACCTGGCCGCCAGGCCATAGACAACTCATATGCCCTCTGGAGGTAACCTAATCCCTAGATATTATGTCAAGTCCCCAGGGGCTCCACAGTCCAAGAAGATGTGTACATCCTACCCAGGAGCCTCATGTCTCTGTGATTTATTTTTCTGACCAAGGGAAGCCTTGGGAAATAAAGTCGACCAATGCCAAAGGATTTCTACAAGTAGCTGTTAATGACTATTAACACAAAGCCAGTTTTCTTAGATTTATGCAAACACCAACATTCACACAAATTGCCCTGCAAAGACAGCCCACACTAAAGGGCGGTACCAGGAGGGCCAGCCCACCTAGATACAAAGTAATCCCCTTCTGCTCAAGCTTGGTATGCTCCTCAGGGGGACCGGCCACTCCTCGGCCCTACTGCCAAGGGCTCAGCTCACCCGTCAAATACAGAGATCACTATCCAGTCGTGCCCACAGGGATGGTACCTGGTTCTTGGCTTGTCACTCTAAACCCCAGACTCCTCTCAACTGAAAGGAGAAGAGGAGGAAATGAAGGGAAGAGAAAGAAAAAGATCATATGCTGTTCCTTTCCTGACGAGTATGTCCTTCCATACAACTCGAGCCATGAAAAATCAAACCAAGGGTCAAAGAATTAGTGAGCTCTCCCTTCCCCCGGCTCTCACACCATCATAAAACAGGCAACCCAGGGTCAAGGACTCACCTGCCGACATGGCCATAGTGGTCCCAGCCACCATGCCCATGGTGACGCCGTTGCCTCTAGGTGGAGGGATGGGAGCAGGGTACACCGTCGCCGGCATGCCATTGGGCTGCACCACTGTGGTGTGGTGGATGACGTGAGGGGGTGCTGCGTACAGGGGCTGTGTGTAGTACGTGCCTTGCTGTGGAGAAGAGGAGAGACAACTGCCACAGGGCTCCACACCCCATGGATCAGAGCCCAGAGATAACCAACCCTTCCCATACGCACAGTGCCCGTGAGCACCATTAAGAGACCCACAGCACACCCCAGGCCTACCTGCGCGTAGGGGCTCTGCTGGGGGTAGGCACTTCGCACAGGGTACACAGCGGTCTGGTAGGGGTTGGGGGAGGAGGAGTATGGTGGCACCGCCCCACTGGTGGGGGAACAGGACACTTTGTAAGGTGTGCCAGGAGTGTAACCTGAAACAAAGAAGCCAATGGCCGTGAAAAACCCAGAGCTTTTCCTCTAAGGTCAGGAACAAGACAAGGCTGTCCACTCTCACCACTGTTATTCAACACAGTACTGGAAGTCCTAGGCACAGCAGTCAGACAAGAAATAAAAGGCATCCAAAATGGTAAGGAGGAAGTACTGTCTATCTGCAGATGACATGACACTACACAAAGAAAACTCTAAAGACTCCATCAAGAAACTATTAAAATAAATGAATTCAGTAAAACTGAAGGACACGAATATACAGAAATCTGTTGTGTTTCTACACACTAGTAAAAAGTAGCAGAAGAGAAATTAAGAAAACAGTTCCACTTACATCTGTACCAAAAAGAAGATACCTAGAAATAAATCTAACCAAGGAGGTGGAAGACCTGTGTTCTGAGAACTGTAGAACACACTTATGGAAGACAACACAAACAAATGGAAAGCTACACCACACTCATGAACTGGAAGAATATCCTTAAAATGTCCTCACTACCAAAAGCAATATACAGATTCAACGCAATTCCTATCAAAATACCAATAGCATTTTTCACAGAACTAGAACACACAATCCTAAAACTTGTATATGGAACCACAAAAGACCCCAAATAGCCAAAGCAATCTTGAGAAAGAAGAACAAAGCTGGAGGTATCACAATCTCAGATTTCAAGATATATTACAAAGATGTAATCATCAAGACAGTATGGTACTGGCATAAAAACAGACACATAGATCAATGGAACAGAACAGAGAGCCCAGAAATAAACCCACGTTTAAATGGCCAATTAATAATCTACAACAAAGGAGACAAGAATATACCATGGGGAAAACACAGTTTAATAAATGGTATTGGGAAAAGTGGACAGCTACATGCAAAAGAATGAAACTGGACTACTTTCTTATACCACACACAAAAATTAAAATGGAATAAAGACCTAAATGTGAGACCTGAAACCTTAAAAAAGTCCTAAAAGAAAATCTAGGCAATAATCTCTTGTACAATGGCCTTAGCAACAAACACATTTATGGATCTCTCAAGCAAGGGAAACAAAAGCAAAAATAAACTATTAGAACTCCATCAAACTAAAAAGCTTCTGCACAGGGGCTCCTGGGTGGTGCAATTGATTGAGCATTCAACTCTTGGTTTCGGCTGAAGTCACGATCTCAGGGTCATGGAATTGAGCCCCCTGCCCGGCTCCAGGCCCCACACTAAAGGAGTCTGCTTGGTTTCTCCCTCTGTCCCTCCCTCCCGCACTCGCTCTCTCTAAAATAAATAGATCTTTAAAAATAATAAATAAATGAATAAATGAATAAATAAATAAATAAATAGCAAGCTTCTGCACAGCAAAGTAACCCGTGACAAAACAAAAAAGACAACCTACTGAATGGGAGACAAGATCTGCAAATGAAAAATCTGATAAGGGGTTAATATCCAAAATTACATGAAGAACACCACCAAAAAAACAATCCAGTTAAGAAATGGGCAGAAGACCTGAATAGACATTTTTCCAAACAAGATCCCAGGTGGCTAACAGACACATTAAAAGATGGTCAACATCACTCATCATCAGGGAAATACAAATCAAAACCACAATGAGATCTTACCTCACACCAGTCAGAATGGCTAGTATCAAAAAGACAAGAAATAACAAGTGCTGGTAAGAATGTGGAGAAAGGGGAACCCTGGTGCACTGCTGGTGGGAATGAAACTGGTGCAGCCACTACAGAAAATAGTATGGACATTCCTCAAAAAGTTAAAAACAAACAAACACCACATGATCCAGTAATTCCACTATTGGGTATTTAACCAAAGAAAATGAAAACACTAGTTTGGAAAGATATATACACCCCTATGTTTATTGTAGCATTATTTACAACAGCCAAGATATGGAAGCAACCCAAGTATCCAATGATAGAATGGATAAAGATGATGTCAAGTATATGTACGTGTACACACACACACACACGCACGCACAAGCACACACACACTGGAATACTACTCAGACATAAAAAAGAATGAGATCTTGTCATTTGCAACAACATGGATGGACCTAGAGGATATTACGTTAAGTGAAATAAGTCAGACTGAGAAAGACAAATACCATATGATCCAGTGATTTCACTTATATGTGCAATCTAAAAAACAAAACAAAACAAAAACCACAAACAGACTCAAAAATAGAGAACAAAGCAGTGGTTGCTGGGCTGGGGGAGGAGGGAACGGTGATGGGCAAAACAGGTGAAGGGGATTAAGAGGTACAAACGTCCAGTTATAAAGTTCAGTCATGTAGATGAAAAGTAGAGTACAGGGAATATAGTCAATAATACTACAATAACACTGTATGACTATGCTAAGCAATGAACAATACACAGAAATGTTAAATCACTATGTTTATACACCTAAAACTAATAAAAAAAAAAATTTAAAAAGGAAAGAAAAAAAGGCCGTAATTCAAACCCACTTTCGGGCCCAGCACAGGGAGGAACCACGTGTGCAGTGAGGAACAAAGCAATGTTACAGCCCTGACTGCAGTCAAGATCTGACACCACTGTGGCCCTGTCTATCCTCCACAAACAACTGACTTCATTTCTAGACCCGATGTGCAAGTATGTTTGTGGGGACTGGAGGAGAAGGGAAAAAACAAAGGAGAAAGTTCTACTGAGAGTATACTCAACACAGGAATAGGAAAGAAATACCTGTCCTGTGGGAATACAAATTGGTATACCTTCCTGGGCCACAATCTGGCATTAAAAGTATGGACTGGAACAGACTCAACTGTAAGAATTCTCATCATGGTGTTGTTTATTACAGCAAAATAAAAGGGGACAGGGGAGAAACTTGTCAAACACCAGGGCTAAGGTAAAAAGATTTGAGTTAAGACAGCAAGTTGAACACATACATTTGCTTCTGTCCCCACCCAAAGTGACAATAAATCAGATTAGTAAGTTAAAGATGTAAAGCCACACAAAGAATGGGAGAGAAGACAACACTTTGGAATCTAAAAAGCAGAAGTGGAAAATGATTTGGCAGACTCAAAATAGCTACATCGCAGCCAACAGTGGAGAGGGCCAAGAAGCAGCCTGCTACCAGGAACACCCCTTCCCCAAAACCTGGAAACTATCAGCACTTGCTTCCAGTTGATGGAGGGCTAAAAATCTGGAAGAGTGGCTAGAGTCTATTTGCTAAGCAGGAAGATGTCTGGCTCCCCATTCTTCCTGACTCCCCATCCCAACAAAGAACAGTGGCTAATTCTCAAGGGAGGGTATGAGAGGGTCTCTGAACTGCTATGTTCTTAGCAGCTTTATTCATAATGACCAAATGTCCACCAGCAAACGGGTACATCCATAGAATAAAATACTAGTAAGGAACCAAAAAGATACAACTGCTGATACATACAACATGGGATAAATCTCAAACTATAAGATGCAAAAGAAGCCAGACATAGGGATACATGCTGAGAGGTGCCTAGCTGGCTCAGTTGGTGGAGCACCTGACTCTTGATCTCAGGGTCCTGAGTTCAAGCCCCACATTGGGCACAAAGCCTACTTAAGAAAATTTTAAATTATTAAAAAAATACATGCTAACTTCACTGATAGGAAACTCTAGGAAAGACCAACCTAATATTCCAAGATAGAAAACCAACTGGTGGTGGTCAGGGGCCAGAGGGCATGAGGAACTTTTCGGGGAATGAAGTCACTTGACTGTGGTGGTGTTACACAACTGTATACTCCTGTCTAAACACACCAGACCAACCGCTTAAAAGGATAACTTTTAGTATATGTAAATTATACCTCAATAAAACTGCTTTCTAAAAGTGAGAGGGGCTCCCGGGTGGAGCACTCAGTTAAGTGTCCAACTCTTGGTTTTGGCTCAGGTCATGATCTAAGGGTGATGAGACTGAGCCCTGCTTTGGGATCCACACTCAGGGTGGAGTCTGCTTGAAGATTCTCTCCCTCTGCCCCTCCCCCAAACCTCTAAAATAAATAAATCTTCAAAAAAAATTTAAAAAAAAAGGTGTCTGAGGTACTATTTCTCATTCATTATGAGACAAGGGCTCACTCACTCACACTTAATTCATGGGAGTGTCAGACAGTACAACTGCTCATAAAGCTAGAGAAGTACTTTCCATAGGACCCAGCAATTCATGCTCAGATATCTGCCCTAGAAGAATGAAAACGTATGTTCACACCAGGACTTATAAAAATTGTTCACCAAACTTCTGTCATAATAGACAAAAATTGGGAAATAACGTTCATCAAAAGGAGAATGGATAAATTATGATACATCCAAATAAAAAATACTAAGTATCAAAAGGAAAAAACACGAATAAATCTCAAACCATGTTGAACACCATGTTGAATGTTTAAAAGACACCAGACACACAGAAGAGCACACATTGTATGATCTCAATTTCAATACAAAGCCTATAAATATACCTATGGTGGGAGAAAGGGGAAGGGTGGTTTGGAGAAGGCAGAACAAAAGCATCTGGGATGATCAAAGCGCTTGGTATTTTCCTTCAGACGTGATAACATGAGTATATACAATTGTCAAAATCGGTCTAACCGAACACTTAATACATGGGTGTTTGTGCATAAATTATACCTTAAAAAACAAGCTAAGTGAGGCACCTGGGTGGCTTAGTCAATTAAGCATCTGATTATTGACTTTGGCTAAGGTCATGATCTCAGGGTCCTGAGATCAGGCACCCCGTCGGGTTCTGCGCTCACTGGGGAGTATGCTTGAGATTCTCCTGTCACTCTCCCCCTCTGCCCCCAAGACCAAGCTCACACATGCTCTCCCTCAAATAAATAAATCTTAAAAAAAAGCTGAGTATTAAAAAATTAAAATGAGGGGCACCTGGGTGGTTCAGTCGTTAAGCGTCTGCCTTCGGCTCAGGTCATGATCCCAGGGTCCTGGGATCGAGCCCCACATCGGGCTCCCTGCAACACAGGAAGCCTGCTTCTCCCTCTCCTACTCCCCCTG